TGGGTTCAAATTCCAAGAAAAGGAATCCCACTTCAACATTAGAAACAACTTTCTGATGGTATGAGCTCTTTGGCAGTGGAATATGATGCCTACTCTGGAGGTCACATAGCAGAGGCTGGATGGCCATCTGTTGGGAGGGCTTGGGTTGTGTCTTCCTTCATACCAGGATGCAGTTAGACTGGATGGTTCTTGGGTCCTCTTCCAAGTCTGGGATTCTTTGATTCAAACATTGTTCCTCTCTGTTCCACTTGTTTTGCGATCTCTGTTTCCAAATTCTGTAGAGTTTCTTTTGTGGTCCGATCCCTTCTCTTCTTCTCCCACTGTTATTAACTGCAAGGCTTGCTTTCAAGAAACTGTTTTCAAGTCACTCAACGTTCACATGTTTTGTGTTTTCCTCTTTAAACGAGTGTTGTTATTTCATTTGGAGAGACTGAACATTTCTCCGCCATTACCACATGAAACAAGGTGGGCTTGCCCAGGTGTGTGCTCATCAGCTCCTGGGTGTCCTCCAGGGAGGGAGGAAGGAAGGAAGGAAGGAAGGAAAGAGGACAGGAAGGAAGAGGGAAAGAGGGAGGGAGGGAAGGAAGGAGGAAGGAGAAGGAAGAAGGAAAGAAGGAAGGAGAGGGAAGGAGAAGTGAAGGAAGGAAAGAAAGAAGCAAAATAAGAAAGAAAATAAAGGAAGGAAAGAGGGAAGGAACGAAGGAAGGCAAAACAAGGAAAGAAGGAAGGGAGGGATGGAGGGAGGGGGGAAGAGGGAAGGAAAGAAGGAAGCAAAAGAAGGAAGGAAAGGAGGGATGGAGGGAGGGGGAAAAGAAAGAAGGAAGGAAAGAGGGAAGGAAAAGAAGGAAGAGGGAAGGAGGAAAGAAGGAAAGGAAAGGGAAGGAAGAAAAAAGAAAGGGAAGGAAAAAGGAAGAGGGGAAGGAAAGAAGAGGAAGAAAGAAAGGGAGGGAGGGAGGGAGGGAGGAAGGAAAAGGAAAGAAGGAAGAGGAAGGAGAAAAGGAAAAGGAAGGGAAGAAGGAAAGAAAGGAAGGAAAAGAAGAGAAAAAAGGAAGGAAAGAGGGAAGTAAAGGAGGAAGCAAAACAAGGAGGGATGGAGGGAGGGGGAAGAGGGAAGGAAAGAAGGAAGAAAAAGAAGGAAGGGAAGGGGGAGGGGAAAAGAGGGAAGGAAGGAAAGAGAAGGAAAGAAGGGAGGAAAGGAAGGAGAAAGCAAGGGAGGGAGGAAGCGAGGAAAAGAAACAAAGAGAAAGAAGGGAAGGATGGAGGCAGGGAGGAAAGAGGGAAGGAAGGAAGGAAAGAAAGAAGGAAACATGGGGAGGAAGGAAAGGAAGGAAGGAAGGAAAGAGGGAAGGAAAGTAGGAAGCAAAGAAGGAAGGAAATAAAGGAGGGAGGAAAGGGAGAAAGAGGGAAAAGAAGGAAGGAAGGAAGGAAGGAAGGAAGGAAGGAAGGAAGGAAGGAAGGAAGGAAGGAAGGAAGGAAGGAAAAAATGGGAGCTGTGCCCACTTTGCCAGACTCTGCGTGGGTCCAGGAGCCGTGCAAACATCAAATAAAGAAGTACCATTAACTCCCGCCTTCTCCTGCATTTCCTCCGATGTGGGTTTCCAAGGAATCCTGCAATTTCTTGCTGTGGGAAGGAACCCTGGGCTGCCCTCTCTTTCGCCTTCTCCGCTCATTGATAATCCTTCCATGAATTAGTGCGCAGCCCCCTGCCTTACGAGCGAAATAGACTAAACTGGGAAAATTGAGCATTTTGCAAAGGAATGCAATCTAAGGAACCTGCTGCTTCCGATTAAGGGGCTGGCATCTTGGGATGTAAATCTTGGTACATTGCATGCTCCCAGGCAAGGGGAAATACGTTTGCCATTTTTCTCCTCGCCACAAGAGCCAAAGCAATTTGAAATGGATTCCAATAATCAGAGATTCTATGTAAAGATCTGGAGGAACGTGTTCTCTGCCAGAGCTATTTGGGAGCTGAATGGACTGCCTCAGAGGGTTACGGAGTACAGTGTTCCCTCACTTTTCGCGGGTGTGACGTTCCAGGACCACCCGCAAACAGTTAAAATCCACAAAGTAGGGACGCCATATATGGCATATATGTGTATTGCATTCTGAGGGTGAGGCAGAAGCGAGGAGAGATTTAAAGGCACCATGCACCTTTTTTTGGCTAGCTATCTCTGTTTTGCTTTGCAATCTCTCTTGATTGGCTGCCTCTCTCCCAAGGGAGTGTGAACCCACTTTCACACTCCATCATTGCCAGGAGGTGGGATTAGAACGCTGCTCTGGGCAATGGCAACCATTCATAAACTGGGAGGCAAAAACTTGCAAAATAACGAGTCTGTGAAAAGTGAGCTAGTTTCTGACAATGAGGATGATGGGATTCAGATTCTTGTTGGGGTTCAGCTTCCTGGCTCTTTGTCTGTGCCTCAAATCTCTGAGCCTGCTTCCGAGGCTCTCACAGACAGTGCAGTGTCAACACAGCTGTTTTCACCAGAAAGGAATGTTAACAAAGGGAATAGCAAGCAGGTGCCTTCCCACAATGATACCGAAAGTGCAGATAAGGATTTGACCCGAGAAGCTCGCCTTGATCTCCAGGTCAAGCGGAGTTCGCATCTGGCAAGCAGACGGGAGGCTAGCTTGGTGCGAGGTCATTGCAATGCTTTTATGATGCTGAGAGCCTAATGTTTTGATGTTAGAAAGGTATTTAGGCCTCCTGGAAACTCTGTGAAAGTGTCAGTTCAACGTAGCCTATTAGCCTGAAAACTTCATGGAATAACCTTAGCCTGGAAAGCAGTACGCTTGGGATTTCTTGCATGGTGATTCTTGGAGCAATTGTTTCCTTGCTTGTACCTGGGACTCTGGTTTGAACGTTGCCAATAGTATTATGTCTCCTGCTTTTACCTGAAGATCTTTGGAACTGTATTCTGCATTTAACCTTAATCTCTGGGACTTTGCAATGGTTATTCTTTATTTTGACTTGGATTTTTTCCTCAATAAACTATAAAACTACAGCTCTTGTGTGGTGGTGTTTGGAAGCAAGGTGAAGCCTACCCTGAGTTGTAACAAAGTGAACCGTGAAGTAGTGAGGGAACACTGTATTCTTTGTCTTTGTTCCCGGAAGAGTTTGCCTTGGAAAAAGTTCCTGTTTTCATTCTTGTTTAAATTTGAATGAGTGCTGTGGATTTTGGCTCTCTTGACTTCATGTACCATGCCTTTTGTGGATTGCTGCTATTTTGTATTTTGTTCATAAACTTTTGTAGTTAGTACTACTGGTGTGGTGCAGGTGAAAAGGTGTCTCAAGGTTGGAGTGCAACAACACCACATTGGCTTCATGAACCTCTCTAGTTGATAACAGAATGCATTATGTTCAACTTACGAAAGTGGCGAAGTCTCACTCATTTCTCCCCACTCGAAACCCGATTGAAAAAGAAATCAAACGCCTCATGAACGGCTTCATCTTTCTCTGCCTCTTCATCTCCCACCCCCAGCAATTATTCCGGGAAGATGCATTTTCCGAATGTGAAATCGTCTTGGTGTGTGTGTGTGTGTGTGTGTGTGTGTGTGTGTGGTGTTGACGGGGGAGGGAGCACAATCAGCCTGACATCCTATCAAGCATTTATCCCGCAGCATCCTCCTTGCGCAAGGAGATGATGGGAAGCCGCTCCTGGCGGGGTTTAAAAATAGAAAAATGCTGACAGTCTGTGGTGGGGGAAGGAATCTCCGCTCAGAGCTTGGCCGTCTCACATCTATGGCGAATCCTCCTGACAGGACGCATCTGCTGTGGCTTTGGAGGCCCTGGCAGACCCACTCCTCAGCTCGTCTTAGGGAGAGTCAGGAGACAAAAAGGACACAGAGCCTTGTGAGGTGTCCCGGAAAGCAAGGCATGGCTCTGGCAGAGGGAGAGTTTAAGCCTTTGGGATCATGAGTGGGATTGTTTCATCGAGCAGATACAGCCTTTGAGACCCTTTCTCTCCATCTATTCCACCCCTTGGACCAAGTGGACAGGATGGGATAGGCCTCCAGGTCTGTTCTCATGGACAGAAGGTAAATGAATACATCAGCATTTACATAAACTGGGGTCTTTGGAAGATCCCGCCTGCGTTGGACGGGGTTACACTCCCCCTGAAGACGCAAGTTTGTAGCTTGGGAGTGATCCTGGATTCATCACTGAGCCTGGAACCCCAGGTCTCGGTGGTGACCAGGGGAGCATTTGCACAGTTAAAACTTGTGTGCCAGCTGCACCTGTACCTTGGGAAGTCTGACTTGGCCACGGTAGACTACACACTGGTTACATCCTGTATAGACTACTGCAACACTCTTCAACTGGTCCAACGGACGGCAGCCACATTACTCAGGGAGCATACAACTCCTCTGCTGCGCCAGCTCCACTGGCTGCCAGTTTGCTACCGGGCACAATTCAAAGTGCTGGCTTTAGCCTATAAAGCCCTAAATGGTTGTGGCCCAACTTACCTGTTTGAACGCATCTCCCCTTATGAACCATCTAGGACATTCAGATCATCTGGGGAGGCCCTGCCCTCGACTCCATCTGCGTCACAAATATGTCTGGCGGGGATGAGCGACAGGGCCTTCTCAGTGGTGGCCCCTCGGCTATGGAACGCCCTTCCTAGGGACATTAGATCAGCCCCTTCCCTTTTGACTTTCTGAAAAAAAGTCAAAACCTGGCTATTCGAGCAGGCGTTTGAAAAGGCAGTGTAATTAGACATAGGATTATGGCCTGCGGGCCCCTAGAGGGGCGGTGTACAAATGTAGCAAATAAATAAATAATGGTAGCATTTCACACCTGGCTTTGGGACAGAGATATATAGGCCCTACTCTTAATACTCAGACACAATTAAGTTCAGAATCTAAAGCAGGATGGTTTGACCTCAGTTGTACTGTCACAGCTCAATGCAATGGACACTTGGGTATAGTCTTTTGGGAAAACACCCGCTCTCTTCAGCAGAGAAGGCTAAAGTTTTTGCAAAACTTTTTCATCCCTTGCTCAGATCAGATGGACCAAAACTGCAGGAAGTGCCTCCGACCGGTTCCAAGACTCGAGCGTCTTCAACGAGACCCTGAGGATCTCCAATATCCAGCGGCACCAAGGCGGGCGCTACTACTGCAAGGCCGAGAATGGGCTGGGCTCCCCAGCCATCAAGTCCATACGGGTTGACGTCTACTGTAAGTATACTCAGAAGATGATGAACAGACTGACTCTTGTTTGCTTTGTAGATGGAAGAAGTGGAGGAAATTCCTTCCTTCTCTGGTTTAAAGCTGGCTTCTTTGGCTCTAAAAGTGGCTTCTCTGGCTTGAGCCGAGACCAGGAAATCCCTTCCTTCTCTAGTTTAAAACTGACTTCTCTGGCTTGAGCCGAGGCCAGGGACCAGAAGTGGGGAAAAGCTGAATCATTTCTGACTCACTTCATGAGTTGTAACAAAAATGGCGGAAAAAGCTTCGGAAGGGCAAAGGGACTTCCGGCTTTCTTAAAAACTTTGAAATCGCTTCAAAAAGGTAATTTTTCCGACTTTATTCCGAATTACGAAGATTCCGACGGTACCTAACCATGCCTAGTGGGCACTTCTATTTTCTAAAGTAATGAGAAAGTGTTGGTTTTTAATATATGCAATGTCTTGATGCTTGTGGGTAAACAGTATTTCTTGCTGTTTCTTTGCCAGTGTTGATGTGGAGAGTGTCTGGTTTGCCTACTCTGGATCACGCAACATAGCATTCTGTGATTTTAGGATTCAATGGAATTAATGGAATCTCTAGAAGACTTGATGGCAAATATGTTTCCTGCCATTTTTATCTGTCTTTGGGTCACTGAAAATGAGATAGATGCAAGGAATCATTCATTTCTATTAGGCCTGTTTGATCAAGAAAAAATTTGTTTCTAAAATCGATTTGTAATTGGGGTGTTTTTTTGTTTCGATATTTAAAATAATTACAAAACTTTCCCAAAAAAAGTTTTGGTATTTAAGAAATTTTGTAAATATTAACAAATTTTTAGAATATTTTTTGTATTTCTTAAGAATAATATTAAAATAATATTAAAAAATATTTTAAAATGGACAATTAACCAAAAAATGGCCCAAATGTGGACCAAACACAGGCAGGAGACAGCAAATGAGAGCACACACCAACAGAAGAGTCTTTTCTTTTTTAGAATATTTTTAAGAATAATAAAAAATAATATTAAAATAATATTAAAAATATTTTAAAATGGAAAATTAACCAAAAAATGGCCCAAATGTGGACCAAACACAGGCACAATACAGCAAATGAGAGCACACACCAACAGAAGAGTCTTTTCTTTTTTAGAATATTTTTTAAGAAAAATAATATTAAAATAATATTAAAAATAATATTAAAAAATAATATTAAAAAATAATATTAAAAATATTTTAAAATGGAAAATTAACCAAAAAATGGCCCAAATGTGGACCAAACACAGGCAAGAGACAGCAAATGAAGCAAGCAGCACTCACAGCAGCAAGGAATGAATCCAATCCCAGTTGCTAGCAGCCATTGCCAAGCCAACCCAATGCAAACTCCCTCGCCCTCTGCAGCAAGCTACGGGCCGCGCGGAGCCGCTTTGAAAGGGCTCGCCGGCCAATCAAAAACAGACAGCCACGGACCCATGGTGCACTGCTTGGGAGCGCCGGATTGGCTCCCAGGCACCAGCACTCCAGCAGCCTCCACCCCATTAACGAAACGAGCGGAGGCTCGTTAAAACTATGGGGGTTGCTGGTTCGATATTTAAAAACCCTTCCGGGTTTGAAAATGTGTTTTGATATCGCTTCGGAAATGCCAAAAATAACGAATTAATAACGAATTAACGAATTAACGAACGAAACCGCACAGGCCTAATTTCTATGATGATCCCAGAACAGACATTTCTAAAAAGGCAAATAAGGACTGGGGGAAGAAGGCTGGCGGGAAGGACCCCAGATATTTGAGTGTGAACAAAACCATGGAAAGTCTGGAGAAATGGCCAATACTGAACCCATTTCCATAGAGGGCAAAAAGTGCATTTGTGTAGAACAGTGTTTCTCAACCTTCCGAATGCCGTGACCCCTTCATACAGTTCCTCATGTTGTGGTGACCCCCAACCACAAAATTATTTTTGTTGCTACTTCACAACTCTAATTTTTCTCCTGTTATGAATCATAATTTAAATATCTGATAGTCAGGATGTGTTTTCATTCACTGGACCAAATTTGGCACAAATACCTGATACGCCCACACTTGAATACTGTTGGGGTTGGGAAGGGGGGGGGGTTGGTTTTGTCATTTGGGAGTTGTAGTTGCTGGGATTTATAGTTCACCTGCAATCAAAGCATGTTCTGAACTTCACTAGCGATGGAATTGAACCAAACTTGGCACACAGAACTCCCATGGCCAACAGAAAATACTGGAAGGATTTGGTAAGGATTGACCTTGAGTTTTGGAATTGTAGTTCACTTACATCCAGAGAGCACAATGGACTCAAACAATGTTAGATCTGGACCAAACTTGGCACAAATACTCCATATGCCCAAATGTGAACACTGGTTGTGACAGTGCAAGTGGTGCCACCTATATGTAGAACTGTAAGTTGCAGGATTTGAACTGTTGTATCATGCCTGATTTTGCCTTTTTACCCTGTAAATGTATAGTTGGATTGATTGGTTTTTATAGCTGTCAATCAATATTGTTTGCACCAGTTGAATTGCTCCTCCTGCTCAATTTTTGACCCCACCTCTTCCTAGACATTAGGACAGTGTTTCCTTTTCCATTCCACCATCAAACTTTCTATCAGATGGATGTGAGAGAGAGTCTTGGCTCTGAAGCCCTTGATTAAGCTACCTCTCAGCACCAATTCTGAGGTTCTTACCCTTGAGACTTATGCTTCATGTTCAGATCAACCTGGATGACGTTGAGAAGTCTCAAGCGCCTTCAAACCGGTTCTTTGGCACCAGAGAAAGGCTTTGTGCCTTCAAATTATAGGCCATTGGAATTGGGGTTGTGATTATTCCGATATTCACAGCCATTGAGAAAGAGGGACCTGGAAAAGCTTCTCAGCTGCAAAACTCCTTGGACCCAAGACAACCAGAGACTGTAATGCATATTTCCTTTACCCCCTTTGAAACTTCCAGCTTATTGCCTTAAAGGGATAACTCTTTGTGAACAATTAAACCTATTTTGAGTTATCTACAGTGTTTTTGGTCCTTGGGAGTTCCGGTTTTCCTAAAGGAGGGCAAGAAGCAATCCCCTGGGGAAAGGTGTCACGTCCATGCCTTTTTCACTAAGAGTTATAGCCCCCAGGTGCGATGGCACACTGGTGGAGTTTGGGGAAAATATATTTGACTTTTGGGAGTTGTAGTTGCTAAAATTTATAGTTCACCTACAACCAAAGAGCATTCTGGACACCACCAAGGACAGAATTAGGCCAAACTTCCCCCACAGAACCCCCATGGCCAACAGAAAATACAAAGTTTCTTGATGGTCTTTGGCTATGCCTCTAACACCCCCTTGTGACCCCCCCCCAGGGGTCCCGAACCCCAGGTTGAGAAAAACTGGCGTAGAGGCAGGCATAGGTGTATGCAATATATAAGATATATTCCAACCCTGTTAAGTGCTTGGGTGCTTACTGCTTCTCTTCTTGAAAGAGTGAAGGGTGAGAGATCTTTTGTGCTCTCTTTTTTTTGGGGGGGGGGGGCTGACCCAGCAGCGGAGGGAATTTTCCACCTTTGAGAAAGCAAAATGAGCTTATGGCATCACAAAGGTAGTCTTATATTTCTAAAGAAAGAAAGCGATGCGAGTCATAGCTATGTTCGCTGCTCAAAGGAAGAAATTGACTCAATTTTGAACAAAAGGAGCATTAACTGATCCATTGAGAATCTGTTTTCTTAATCTTCTTATGCCACTGATCCTGACGCATTCACGAGGCCCAGAATCACAACCAAAGGGGGAAAAGAGCCCAAAGGGGAAGAAGGCAGGTCACAGGGAGTTTCCCAGGAGGGAGAGCAGCAGGCCTTGGGTGCCTTCAAAGGACTCTCTACACAGGGAAACTGTGGCCCCTTCTATACTGCCATATCAAATCCAGGTTATCTACTTTGGACTGGATTGTATGGCAGTGTGGACTCGGATGATCCAGTTCAAGGCAAATAATGTCTGGAAGCCATGAATGCCTATGAGGAGTGTCTTCAGGAGCTGGGTGTGTTTACCTTGAAGAAGAGAAGCTGATAGATGCAGACATATAGCCATTGGGCTTGTGCTAAATTCTCAGAAGTTCTGTAAGTCATATTAAAATTCATTAAATCTGTACTTCCGGAGTGATATTGAAATGGCAGGGAGAAGGTTTCAGGAAAAGAGACAAAGAGAGGTCCGGAGGTCTCAAAAGCACGGATTTTATTTCCAGCTGGGACTCTGGTGAGGAGTTGTGTCCAAAAGCATCCAGAGCAATGGTATAGGTGCGGACCTTCCCTTTTATAGTCTCCAAATGCAAGCAAACAAAGAACATAGAATCATAGAATCCTAGAATCAAAGAGTTGGAAGAGACCTCCTGGGCCATCCAGTCCAACCCCATTCTGCCAAGAAGCAGGAATATTGCATTCAAATCACCCCTGACAGATGGCCATCCAGCCTCTGTTTAAAAGCTTCCAAAGAAGGAGCCTCCACCACACTCCGGGGCAGAGAGTTCCACTGCTGAACGGCTCTCACAGTCAGGAAGTTCTTCCTCATGTTCAGATGGAATCTCCTCTCTTGTAGTTTGAAGCCATTGTTTCATTGCGTCCTAGTCTCCAAGGAAGCAGAAAACAAGCTTGCTCCCTCCTCCCTGTGGCTTCCTCTCACATATTTATACATGGCTATCATATCCCCCTCAGCCTTCTCTTCTTCAGGCTAAACATGCCCAGCTCCTTAAGCCGCTCCTCATAGGGCTTGTTCTCCAGACCCTTGATCATTTTAGTCGCCCTCCTCTGGACACATTCCAGCTTGTCAATATCTCTCTTGAATTGTGGTGCCCAGAATTGGACACAATATTCCAGGTGTGGTCTAACCAAAGTGGAATAGAGCATGGGGAGCATGACTTTATCTAGACATTATGCTCCTATTGATGCAGGCCAAAATCCCACTGGTCCAACGGGCAGCTCCCATGCATCTACATACATTGACCTCATTTACTATGTCATCTTAGCATC